ACCGGTGATTGAAAGATTTCAAAATAAGCTTACCCATTGGAAATCGAAGACTTTATCTTTTGGCGGGAGATTAACACTCATAAAGTCAGTCCTCGGGAACCTTCCTACATACTTCATGTCTCTTTTTGTTGCACCTACATGCATAATTGACAAATTAGAAAAGCTAAGGCGTCGGTTCTTATGGGGTGGCTCAGAAGGTCAGTCCAGGATTCATTGGGTATCTTGGGATAAAATCATTGCTAACAAGACAGCAGGGGGTCTAGGAGTTGGATCGATAAATGCTTTCAATACTGCTTTGCTCATTAAATGGTGGTGGAGGTTCAAATCGGAATCTGAGTCGGTTTGGGCAAAAGCAATTTCAAGTATGCATAATCTGGCGGGCAAACCAGACCACATCTTTTCTTTAAAAACTCTGACCGGGGTTTGGAATAATATCGCATGCTCACAAAAGGATTTGGATAAATGCGGAATTACTCTTGGGATGGTGCTTAAAAATCAATCAACAAATGGGGGAGCGGATTGGAGATGTCCTCTCACAACCACAGGAGACTATCAGGTCAACGCTTTGAGAAATAAATTGGACAATTGCATTCCAGTAAATATTGGAAGATTTGAATGGGTGAAAGAGGTCCCGATTAAAGTAAATACTTTTATTTGGCGTGCAAAACAGGGTCGGATTCCAACTACAGAAGCCCTAGCGACAAGAGGGGTCAATGTGAATCATACAACCTGTTGTCAATGCGGTAATGCAGAGGAATCTGCGGACCATGTGCTGATTCAATGCTCATATGCTCAAACGATATGGAATTGGATTTTAAAATGGTGTAATGTTCAGCAGACAAACTTTTCCTCAATTCATGGTGTTCTTGATTTTGCTTCAAATTGGGGTAATTGTCTGAAAAAAAGGAGGAGGTTGATAGGAATTTGTTATGCAGTTGTTTGGAACATTTGGAAATCACGGAATGAACGGTTGTTTAACAACAAAAGGATGCATCCATCTAAAGTGGTAGATCTTATTATTTCTACAATGTTCACTTGGGAGAAATATAGGGGCAAAACGAAAGCAATTAGATGGTCTGAATGGTGTTTAAACCCTTTTATTGGGTTGTAATTCATCTTGTTTTCATTATATTTGGTTAAATTTTTCATTGTATGTTTTTCCTAGCATCTTGCTGGGGCCCCTTTTATTAATATATATATATATATATATATATATTTCATTTGCTGGTTCAAAAAAAAAATGTATGAAAATTAAAAATTGACACCTAGAATTTCAGATTAGCAACAAATTATGTCAATAAAGATGGCTTAAACAACGGATTAGCGATGGAACATTAAAGTTTCACCCCTGATAACACGGACCTACACCTTGCATATATTGAGGATTGGCACCTTCCAAAAGTCAAGATTATTATTTAATAAAATAATAAATTTTGATTCATATAACCAAAACCCTTGCAAAAACTATGATGATGTATTTATAGAAGGATAAGTTTAGATTGACATTTTACCCAAAGCAATACATGTAACATGCTTATATTATGAAACAATCAAAATGATATAAAGTATATATTAAATTTGCAATTAAAAAAGCACACTTTTGTTATATCTTGTCATTTGTCATTTAATGTGTTTTAAGGCGTATATTTTTTATATTTATTGCGAAGATCTTATGCGGTAACTATTAATATCTTTTTCAATACTCTACCGACAATTATTCGTTTCTAAATTATAATTTAACTGAAAAAATGAAAGCTCTGAAACAGAATGAAATATTAACTTTTGTAAGGACCAACATGTCCCGGCCTAACTATTAAAGCTGTCAAATTGTAAAACGGAAAACCAACCATCATGTTACCAACCGAACCAAAAAACTTGGTAGTCAATATATTTGGTAGCCAACATGTTTGGTTGGTAGTAACACATCAATTAAGCAATGTTGGTACGGTAATGGTACAAAAGCTTGAATACCATGGTAATACCGTATCAACCAATTTATATATATATATATATATATATATATATATATATATATATGAAATCGTATATTTCAACTGTTAATCGTGTTTTGTGTTTACAGTTTTAATAATATTATATTAGTCATTTGGTGTATTAATCAAAAGTTATTACTTTAGTGTTACTTCTATAGAATTTTTTTGTAAACTAAAAGAACTACATAACTAATTTCTATACTAAATATCAAAATCCTAATGTCTTTGCTTATTTTTAAATCATACAATATAAAATTAAAAGAAATTACTATATACCATTACCAATTTGTACCAACCAAACTTGTCGGCAGCCAAATAAATTGGTACCAAGGCTATGTTTGACGCACTAGCTGAAAAGATAGTTGTCGGCTGAAAAGCTAGCTAATAGCTGAAAACTAGCTGTTAAATAAAAAACTAGCTGATAAAAAATAATGTTTGGTAAAACTAGCTGAAAAGCTAGCTGAAAGATATAAAATTACAGAAAATGACATTTAAAAATTGTTTTCCTATAATTAATTAAGGGGTATATTTGAAAAATTCTAAAAAAACTCCTAAAAAGATAGTCTAAGTAGTTTTTTAAAAAGCTAGCTTAAAAGCTACTTTTTGGCTTGCCAAACATGACAACATAAAAAAACTTGAAAAATAAGCTAGCTTATCAGCTAGCTGTGGCGCGCCAAACATAGCCCAAACATACATGGTACGGTACCAGTAACAATTTTTTTTATACCAATTATAGTTGGTACGGTACACGGTTTAGAGAAAAATGAATTGGTACCGTACCAATTCCACCCCAACTAAGTATTCATCATTTCCAAACCTTATCTTTTCGTGATCCAACCCATATTCGGTTAAAACTGGCCACAATCGACCCTAGCCACCAATCCAATCCGAACCCAACTTAAAATTAATAGGTTGCGTTGAGATTTCCAACCCATTTAGGATAAATGATTCAACTCGTCTAACTTATTTAATTTAATAAGTTAGGTTCAGTATGTGCGTGTGTGTGTGTATATATATATATATATATATATATATATATATATATATATATATATATATATATATATATATATATATATAGTTAGATTCATGTGAGACGGTATAATTTTGTGAGGTTGTGAAACACAATTTTAACGATTCATTTGTAGATAAAAAAATATTTTAAAATGTAAAATAATTAAAAGAATGATTTTTTTTTTAAATATTATTTTCGTCATTTATATTTTCCAAAAAAAAATTACCATTTTTTTACATATTCTAATAGAATATTCTAACGTTATAACAAATCAAATTAGAATATTTACAGTGTAATATTCTATTAGAATAGTTCACGTATTTAAAAAAAACGGTAACTTTTAATTATTTTTAATTAGTTTTTTTATTTTTTTAGGAAAATAAAATGACGAAAATAATAATTAAAAAAATATTTGGATTTTTTTTATTTTGCATTTTAAATTTATTTTTAGATTGCGATCAACGGTCTCACAAAACTAACGTTGTCTCAAATTAACATGAACATATATATATATATATATATATATATATATATATATATATATATATATATATATATATAATTTATTAATGATTTAAATATTAACATGTATTAATCGAAGTATTAATTTATAAATTACAATGTTGTATTATTACTTATGTTTTAAAAAACGCAATCATAATTTCTATATTTTTTTGTGCCGTAAATACTAGTTACTCTTAAAAATCATTTCAAAATTATATATCTTTAATGTTATTTGAATGAAAACTTTGTATTTGTGAATTTGAATTGTGTTTTTTTATTATACCTTGAAAGTTTATTTAAGTTTGGAACTAATTTAATTAGTGTAATATTTAGTTAATTTATTTACTGTTTTATTTTAAATTGACCAACTCAGGTTTCACCAATTTATTTAATAAGTTGGGTTGAGAATTACATAAATGGATCAATCTAGTGACAACTGATTTTTTTGAATAGTTGAATTTGGTTGAAAATATTCACCCATTTAAATAAAAGGGTTGAGTTGGGTTAAACTCTTCAACCCAATGGGTTGAACACGATCCCAACTCAGGTCACCCATTATCAGTTTTATGGTCCTCCATCGCACCTGTATAGTTGAGCGTGTTACCATGTAATATTTTCTTAAAAGAAAATTGTTGTGGCTTAAATATTGAGAAAATTTTAAATTATCAATCAATTTTTTCTTAGTAGTTCAATTTTTTCATATATGTTGGATTTTCAAATTATTTCTTTGTTTATTTATATCTTTATGATCAAGTTTAGCGGGTTACCGTTTAGTGTATTTAATTTTAAGAACGGCAAATTGTACTATTTGAGCGGCTCACGTAAATTCATTTTAAGGCCTACAAAGGATGTCAATCGTGGAACAATAACAATATATCAAACGTACAAGATTTTAAATCGTGGACCTTGCGTGTGAAATTACATACATCAACTATTAGACTCCAATATTGGTTGAATTGTCTTCCTATTATTATAGTATATATATGTATATGGGTAAGTCCATTTGTGTTTGTACATCTCTGCTTTTGAATGCTTTCAACCGAGTCTCTCTTGTATTATATATATATATATATATATATATATATATATATATATATATATATATATATATATATATATATATATATATATATATATATATATATATATGTTAGGATAATAATCCTTGAAAGATCGATAAGATTTAAAGCGGATTAAAGCAAAAACAAGATAGTGAATTAAAATATGTTGAATGATTCAAAAGTCACAGCCTCAGAAGAACTCGATTAAGAATTGCTACTGTAGAGGTGTGATTAGGGTTACAAGAATACTATAAAGGTTGCCAAAATTTGATGCATGCATGCACCTTAAATACTATAACCCTAGAAATAAAAGACAAGTGGACAGGCCCAACCCGTTTACAATATGCTTAAACAAAAGGCACAATAACGCAACACAATATCTTCAACAATCTCCCCTTTTGCGTCAATTAAGGTGAGAGTCTATTAGGGCTAAGTTTGCTTTTGTACTTCAAAAACCATTGGCGTTACGCTTAGCAATACCTTGCAAACCTGGACGTACCACTGAATCATGTCTGAGAAAGACTTTTTGTCTCCCTGGTTTTTGCCCTTGAATTTATTAACGATTTCCAAAATGTACTCCAGGTAGGTGGTAGTGTACTTGTCAGGAAGAAAGAAACAGGTATTGTGAAAGTCTGCATCATTTTGTTCCCTTGCCTGAAATACCACATACCACGCCTCTTTGTAAATCTTACCAAGCTTTAACTTCTCAAATCCTTCTGGATCTTCTTTAGGTTGAATCGAGGGCTTCCTTCTTAGCATATCAGCTATTTTCCTATCCATTTCCCACCTCTTGAATATACGAAACAATCATCAGCTTGAGGTGAGCAATAACGGGTTTGTACTTCTGTTCGTCTCCCAACAATTAGTTGTAAAGCATGATCCAGTCATATGGGTTGAGACAAGGCAGGTCTGCGAGAGTGAATTTGTGAACCTGACTAGTCGAACCTCTCACCGCCTTGAACTTCGCATTTGGGAAGCTTCCGGTTTCGATAGGACCAATGACCTTCACTGCAGATAACCTAGGAAATAAATTGGTTCCATTAATTCTTTCTTTATTGGTGTATTTTATTTTAAAGCATTGCCTTGTAATGATATATATGAAAATGTCATGGTTGTAGATAACCTAGGAAATAATGTGTTGAATATTGATTCGTCCAATGTTTTGTACAAGGCATGTTTGTGGCATTATCATCTTGGATATGTCAACAAGAAGCGCATAGCCCAACTCCAAAATTATGGAGTTTTAGAGTCATTCGACTTGAAGTCGGATGACACATGCGAATCTTGTTTGTTGGAAAGATGACCAAGTCACCCTTTACTGGTGCTTGTGAAAGGGGTGAATGTTTGTTGGATCTCATACACACCTGTAACATCCCATTTTTCAAGGCCACAAATTTCGTTTTTAAATAAGTAACTTATAAAATCGTTTACTAAAAACATTGTCAATGTCATATCAATCCATAAAACCATAGCAATCATGTCTCAAAATCTTAACATCAAATAGTAATAAAATCATAGTACAATCCCATGAATCTTAAATTGTGGAATCCTGTGTGCAAGTGTGTGATGCGCTGCTACTTTGCCGTGCAACACCCAAAGTCTAGAAGGCCAAGAAAGGAAAGAAAACCCTAATTTTAAAGGGCGACTCGGCGAGTCCAAGGAGGAACTCAGTGAGTCCGAGTGGGATCCGGGTCGAGGAGTAAGTGACCGACTCGGCGAGTCGGCCAAAGGGACTCGGCGAGTCTGGTCTATGCGGAGAAAACCCTAAATTCGGGACTTGGAGCCTATTTAAGCGCCTCATTCTCCTCATTAGGGTTCCTTTACTGCCTCTCTAACCCAGAACACCAAACCCTAGCCGCCATATCCTCTATTTGAGCCATTTGTTGCCTTGAAGGGTGCATTAAAGCTTGGAAAAGGAAGAAGGAACTTGGAGGTGCAAGAAAGGACTATAGATCTGGGATTTTGAGTATATTTCTGAGCACTTGGAGGTAATGATCTAGTTCTTGGACTCTTTTGCACTTAGATCTATGTGTGGTTGTCGGGGCTTTTTAGCCATAATGCTATTCATTTGAGTTAGAAGCCAGATCTGAAGTTGCTACTTCAGATCTAAGCATTTTATGGTCTTGAGAAGCATAAAGTATCAGCCCTTGAGTTGTTTATGGAGCCTCTTTGCCTTGAACCCTAGTTTATGGTGTATTTTGCCTAGATCTCCTTCTCTACACGTAAAGTTTGCAAATTTACGTGAGGAATAGGCTTGGGAAGGGTAGATCTACAGTTTGGAGTCCATGCATGACTCAAAAGTCCTGTGCATGTAAGGAGATCTGAATGGACTCAACGAGTCCTTTGAGTGAACTCGGCGAGTAGCATGAAGATGAAGAGCAATTCGAAGAGTGGGATGAATAGCTCGTCGAGTCAGATGAAGATTGCCTTGTGCTCGGCGAGTCTGTTCTTGGACTCAGCGAGTCAGGTTGCGAAACCCCCCCCCCCCCCCCCAAACCCTTAGAGTTGAGACTTGAATCAGTGAGTCGGATGGAGACTCGGTGAGTTGGACAGGTCAGGACTCAGAAATCGGTAGACTCGGCGAGTCATGGATTGACTAGGCGAGTCAAGATGCGAAAGGAAGGATTCTGAATATATGAACTCGGCGAGTTAGTAGGTTGACTCGGCGAGTAGGGTTGACCTGGGAGGATGACCTTGACCAGGACTTTGACTTTGACCAGGGTTGACGTGGTTGTCTTTCGGGGGTCAGTTAGACTCAGTGTTGCATTGATATTGGTAGTTCGGGGAGCAAGGGAAGCAGGAGTTCAGTGAGTTGTCGGGCAGCAGCTAGTGAGATCATCAGCAAGTTCAGCCAGTGTAGGTGAGTTTCCCTTTGTGTGAATGGGTCTAAGGCCACAATGCCGGCCCATGTAGTTATGAGTAGAAGACCTGGGGGTTATCCCTAGGCACAGTATGCTAGTATGATATTCAGGACGAAGTCCATTAATAGCGGGTGGGTGCCCAAGGATTTGTTTATGTGATAGTTTATACTTTTTGTCTGTGTGATACATGTATGTGCCTGGTAAGGAGGTGAGTGTGGGAGAGGTCTCGTATCTCACCAATAGCAGAGTGTGGATGGGGTTCCATATCTCATTGGTAGCATAATAGGGGCGAGGCCCAAGTTAGGGAAGGAGTGAGAGTGGGTTGGGCCCATACCTTACTACCAGTAGGAGCTGTTGGGTTTTGAGCAATCTAACACTTCCTAAGTGTGCATGCAACCCTAATAAACCTTTGATCTATGTTTGTCTAAATACATGCAAAATAATAATTTTCCAAGGTTTATAACCTATCTAACATGGCATGGGGAACATTTCAACATAAAAGAGTTAGAAGAGATTACATACCTTTTGGTGAGTTTGGTTCTAAGGAGTTTGAGGGCCAAGCACCAATAGTGTGAATTCCTCAAATGGAATCACAAAACACCACAAACTCTTGGAAAACTTTGAGAGAGTATACACACTTGTATAAATTCGGCCACACACAAGCACACACACACTAGTTCACTAGTTTTTCCTTAGGCTCCATTTCATGCTCCATAAGCATGTTTATATAGTGTGCATGGTTAGGGTGAAACCCTAATAACCCATGTCTTTTCCTTTCCAAGGACCCATGGGTTAAAAGCTCCATGGATCATCCATGGACTTCCACATAAGCCTAGCCCATTAACAAATGAGTATTAGCCCACACTATATAAAACCAAAAGCCCATAATCTAATTAGTCTTCCTTTTAATCTCTAAATTAATTCATAATTAATTTAAGACTAAAACTAATTACATAACGTAACTTCATATTAATATATTATAACTTATAATATATTAATAAACATATGTGTATAACTCTCATAAAATTATCCATAATAGTTTGGATGAGATGCAACCCAAATGGACCATGCCGGTCGGATCAAGTATATACCAAATAAGTTATGGACTTAGACACCTTATCCAAAAGACTCCCACTTGGATAAGTCTAATAACTGTATTTGCCTATAACTTCAGGAACCAACCAGCAATCATAGCTCTCAAAAACTCCGTCGAACTATGAAGCGCCATTTTAAGACAAGTGATCACATAATCCTCTGTTCTCATGATATCAACCGGACAAACACATGGAACTATGTCTTGCTTATTGTCTGGAAGTTGTTTCTCGATTTTCCGATCTGTTTGACGAAGAACTTCACTGAACACATCGGTTTAGTTCTGACCGGGCCCGGTACATGGGTCAACACAAAATCATCGAGGGACCCAGATATCGCTTCTATTTCTAGAAGGAACAGATAAACTTCGACTGATATGCTTGTTCTACTACTTATTGAATTGTACACAAAGGCACGTTTTATAACATCAAGTTACTGATGCGTTTACGTGCAATCAATGCACAACCAACTCATATGAAACAACTCATATCTCTAGGTTTGAAGATTTATATGATATTATCGTCTCACGATCACTCGAGATAAATTCCATGAAGTGATACAAGTGAGCGTGGGTTTATACCAATACTCATAACTTATGAGTACTCATGAATGTTGCAACAACCATTGCCATGTCTAAACACCTTTAAGGGATCTACAAACCCAATTCATGACAATCTTGATTCATACCTACTTCCGACGTATGATCGATTGTGGAGGTTTGAATAAATTAATTATTCTGGAAGTCAAAACATGCAAAACTGAAACAATAGTAAATAATTGACAATGATAGTAACACTTTACTCATAAATAAATCACAAATTTTATTCATCATCAAACGTCGATTACATTTTACAAGTTTCAGGAAAACTATCTAATCTGTAAAACTAATATCGTCCCTCAACCCGATGCGTCTCGCATGCTGAAAATGCTTAACCCTCGTCAGTCCCTTCGTAAGGGGATCTGCAGGATTCTCATCCGACGATATCCTCCTTGCCACGAGGAGTCCTTCTTCAATCTTGTGTCTTATGAAGTGATATTTTTTGTCAATGTGTCGGGATCTGCCATGATCTCTTGGTTCCTTGGCTAAGGCAACCGCACTATTGTTGTCATAGAAAATCTCCATAGGTTCCTTAATAGCTGGTACAACTCCAAGGTCTCCGATGAAGTTCTTTAGCCATATCGCCTCCTTCGCTGCTTCACTCGCTGCTATATACTCTGATTCACAAGTCGAATCAGCTACCGTCTCCTGCTTGGAACTCTTCCAAGAGATTGCCCCTCAATTTAAGGTAAAGATCCAGCCTGACTGAGAGCGGAAATTATCCCTATCAGTCTGAAAACTAGCATCACTATACCCTAATGCTCTCAAGTCATCACTCCCACCAAGGGTAAGGACCCAATCCTTAGTCCTCCGCAGGTACTTGAGAATGTTCTTTACCGCAGTCCAATGAGCCTTGCCAGGGTTCCCCTGATACCTGCTGACCATGCTCAAAGAAAATGCCACATCAGGACGGGTACAAGTCATAGCATACATGATCGAGCCAACAGCGGAAGCATACGGTAGTTGGCTCATCTTAGCTATCTCTTCCTCTGTACTCAGACTCTGAGTCTTACTCAGTTTGGTATTGCTTTGGATCGGTAAATCTCCTTTCTTGGAATTCTCCATGTTGAACCTTTTCAACACCTTATCCAAGTAGGTACTCTGACTAAGTCCAATTAGTCTTCTACTCCTTTCTCTTAATATCCTTATCCCTAGGATATAGGCAGCCTCCCCTAGGTCCTTCATAGCAAAGCACTTCCCAAGCCAGG